CATTTACCCCTAGGTTACAGGGCTACATACAAAGCTGTGCTTATCCCTAAAACAGAAGCTCTGTGAGGGCAGAAACGCTGCTATGTTCACAACTGTATTCCCAGTACCTAGAAGAGAATTGGCATAGTTGGTACAAGTAGGTACTCACAATAAAGATGTGTTGAATGAATTAACTAATGAATGAACAATTTATGGAGCTTTAAAAGGCAATTCTGACCATAGGTGATTTTCTTGTACTACCAAATCCACCCTCACTGCCATCCCGTCACATCCCACTTCTCTGCAAATTGGACAATTGTATTGGAACTAGGGTACCAAAATGATGACTCCTTCTAAAAACCTTTACACTAACTTAGGAAAAAATTTGCTTTTCAACAGCTAAGATAACGTGAAGGATGTATATCTTACATTTTTCTCACTCGCCTTTGTTTTAGTTAAATCATTCTCTAGCAAATTCTCTTTCAAAGCAAAGGCAATGTCTAAGAGGGCAAAACTATTAACAACTATCTTCCAGGAACCACAAGTTCATGCAGATGGTAACTTTCGTGATATTGCCAAATACATAGCCCAGGCAATGACCTTTCTGGTTCTCAGGCATTATCTTTTATGGTAGTCACAAGGGCAGTCACAAGTTATCAGTACTTTATCACAAATCATGCTTCACCTATAGAAAGGTAAAAAAATAACTCACACTCATCGCTCCTAAAAAATATGTGGTTCTCATAAGATCTGGGCCATCGCTGTGCATATTATTAAGTGAGTACTAAGAGTTCTTGACAGGGTGGGAAAAGCACCAAATGAAAAGTGAGGCACTACTGTGGCCCTTCCATTTCAAAAAAAGTGAGTTCAGACCATCATCTGCTAGGAACTACAAGTTCATGCAGACAGTGACTTTTAGACATTGTCAAATATAGTTGGACATTACGCTATAATACTTCATCCTTTGGGTTCGGAGGCATTATCTTTTATAGAACCTTGATTAGCTATTAAAATCTAGGAAAAATTTAAAGATAAAATATAACTGATTGCTAATTAACATAGATTTGAATGCTAAATGCAATAGGACCCATATTCAAAGCTTAATTTCGAAGAAACTTCAAACTATAGAGTTAGGATTTTTTTTTCTGTAAACGTCCTTAATGATTATTTGACATCCTCACTTTATAGATGAGATGCAGAGACCCAACGAGGAAGAACAGAATCCTTGTTATCTTCAGAGTAACACAGCATATTTTTTAAATGTGTAAACATAAAACACGTTTTATAGTCAACTACAGATGTATCAAATGTTCCCCATGTACCCCTTTGTAAAAAGCACATAAATATTTTGCTAATTCTGAGCCCATATAGTTTTTAAAAAGGGGGAGGCAGATGTTTGAAGATGTGCTGTTCTCAAACTCAAACATGACTTCACACGTCAACATGTGCTGGATTTGATTTCAGCCTGCACAGGTAAGTTTCACAACAAGACACTCTTCCTATCCAGGAAGACTTCAACTTTCAAAGCACAGCGAGTCAGGTACTTAACGTGCAGGGATACTTCAGTGTCCTTGGAAGAAAATCAGGAATAGAAGCCTTCTGTCTGGGTTGCGTGTTTCCCTAAAACTTGTTGAGCAGTACTTTTTCCTAACATCGGACAGCAGCTCGCTAGGAGTATGGAGATTGAGCGAGGATGCTCACGTCAACCCTGGTTACCATCTCGAGGTAGACCTGAGCTGCTGCTTTTACTTCTCCGGCTGCAATCAAAGGCATCTCTGATTTTCTTCCTACCACAACACTTCCTTCGCATTTTAATGCAATTTGCCCCGGAAAATGATCTGTTTCACCAAATTCTTTTACAAGGTAATTTTCTAGAACACATGTGTTGTTATAAGGAAGTTAAAACTCGATTTCAAAGGTAAGCACAACCACAAACTAAGACACAATTACACTATAACCCCAAAACCTGTGTATAAGTCATCTGGCACACACTGTTTGTGCATTCTCCCAGTCAACCACATCAACCATAAACACTGAAGTCCACAGGTAGGAGATTTCCAATACTCTAAACATAGGCCCTTCTCAGAAAGCCACAGTCAGCAAAGATCACAGGTGAAAGACTCAACAGTAAAGTGAGATACTATTGGTAGGCTTTCAGATTACCACATACAGAAAGGTCATTACACCCAGAATTCTGCCAAGGAACCACCAAGCAAATACACGCACTCACACAGACCCCACAAGCAGAAAAATGCATTTTATAAGGGCAGACATCAATAGAAGGGTTAGGTACAACTCCAACTCTGCAAGATCCTACAAAATGAAATGGAGGGGACTGCTGCAGGAGCAGCAGGGAAAAAAAAAAACATTTTTTAAAGCAGTAGTGTTCTTGGCAAGGTTCAGATGGAAAAACAGCAACAGATCCCAGAAGCAGAGCTGCAGCCAGGAATAACCTAAGCTCAAGCCATTTTAAGTAAGGGCAGGATAATACTTACTAAGGATTCGCTGCATGGTTATACTGGTTCTCTAGGCCTCTAGGCTGAGTGTTCAGGGATTGGATTCTGTTAAGTTACTGTCAAGGGATAAGCAGACCTTTATCATGTATATGCCGGTTATAAGTAGGCACTATAAACCAGCTTCACACCACAACAGGGGAGTAAAGCTGGGGGGAAGCCTTTTCCCTATTTTGCACGTGAGATTAATACTAGGAGAATTACAGAAGGCCACATGACTAATAAGTGGAGTCACACCCTTTCCCCTATTCTGTCGTACTTCAAAGCCCACGATACCACATTACCAGGCATAAAATATGGCTCCTGCCCTAAACAGGCTTAAAATAACCTAAACCAATTAGAGATCAATACAGCCAGTATAATGAAGGTTGAACAAGCAAGTATCTTGAGAAACAGAAAGAGAAAGTATTATAAAAGAAGTAGACTTAGGCTCCTCTGAGAATAGGTAGGAGTTGCACAGGAGAGTGAAGAGAAGTGGGGGCGGGTTTCTCAGGAAAGCACTATGAGCAGTGACACTGTCGTGGGAAGGAGTCTGGCCCCATTAGCAGGACAGCAAGAAGACCAGGCTGCTTAGAGTGCAAAGATGCATGCTGAAATAAAAAGAAGATTTTAGATAGGAAGGGTGAGGCTGATTATGATAGGCCTTGAGAAGTCAGGCATATTATTTCAAACTTGAGATAGTACATAATGAAGAGAAACTGAAGGTTACATGTTCAGAAGAGTGAAGTGATCATTTTAAAGATTACACAGGCAACATAACTCTGAAAAGATCAGAGGGAAACTTCTCATTCATTCATTCATTCATTCAGCAAACATTTAATGAGAGCTTAGTAAGAGTCAGGCTTGGGAGGCTGTTGCAGTACTGCAAGAGAGTGTGAGGGCTCGATTAGAATATAGAAGGAGGGATCTACATAAAACATATTTCAAAGGTCTTGACTCATTGATATAGAGGATGAAGGAAATGAAGGAAAACATGGTTAAAGATAATTCCAATGTTTCAACATTAACATAATTTCCACCGTACTAAGAACTTCGAAAAGCAATGAGAATAACAAACATTAAAGTATAAAAAGAGCTCTGATGATATCGAACAGTCAATAAATAAAACTCCTAAATGGCCTGTTTGATGTCCTAGTAGCTCATTTATACTTAGTCTGTGGAGAAGAAACTTCAGTGAAAAGACCTTTTCTTTGTGATTAAATGCTGAGTTCCCTTGGCAAGGACAGCAGGGGTCTGCCTAATCAGACAGGCTCCATCAACCCTCCAGCGTACCCCTTCACGATCTGAACCTAGATTGGTTTCATTAGGAAATGTGGCTGCCTCCCTGCAGCCTGGCCACCAGTTTTGACTTTGGAGAAGGGGACAAGGCAAAGTGAAAAGAGAGAAATAAAAAGTGGGCAGAGTCACTTTAGAGAGTGGGGAATGGTACAAGATGTCGTTTTAAATAAAGGATCCCAGTACTGCTTTCCTTTCTACACCTACTTCCTAGTGTTTTACAATTCCTGGTCCTCAAGTATATAGGAAAGCCTTAAAGAGTCATTACCACATTGTAGCATATTGTCCAGAAACTATTTCAAATGTGCATATTTATGCATATATTAAGTCCCAGCACAGTTCAGCATATGATTGAGACACAAATTCTTAATAATTCATATGTTGGCTACAGAAATTTAGAGCTCATTTAAACTTTATATTCGGCAATGGTGTCATTCACTATTGAAGCATACCCTGAAACCCCACTCACTGGGAAATGTGAGAAATGAAAACTGTAACTATCAAACTTCTGTTACTACAAAGAGTGCTCCCGGCCAAACAAAACAAAACCCACAAGCCCCAATACCTTATACCTTAGAGAAATCCAGTCCCGCTTGTCAAATTCAGTGTGGAATTCCCTGAGCCTAGCCCAACTCCAGCAAAAGCAGGTCTTATTTAGTTATAAGAGGAAAGGGCTACTCTTCTCTGCAGAATGATGCATTAGCTACCTTACATATAAGTCCTTAATGTTAGTGTCAAAGTCAAACTTTAAAAGGTTAACATTACAAAGAATCAGTTGTTACAGAAAATCCTTCAACATCCTTCTCATAACAGCTACTCAGATTAATAAGAAAGAAATCAGAGCAGAAAGAAATCCAATAAAAAATGGTTGCAAATAAGTATACGAGGATTTTTGCTCAGATCCCTTGTGGGACAGCCAAGGGCCTAGTCAGGGAAATTCCAAGAGCAAGTCCTCAACGTGCCCCGCAAAGAGGCTTCAAATTGGCTAGGGTCTTCCCCCTCTTTAAGACTAAAAGGTAAACACCCATCAAAATCCTCCAGGCTCCGAGTTTTCATGCCAGGAAGGAGAGACCCACATGATCGCGGAAAGAAACTGTAACCCATTAGCCTCTTCCTGCGCCTCCGATCCGTCGCGGGGCCACCGGCCAGGGGTCCCCCGGCCGCCCCCGCCCAGCAGCTACTAAAGTGACAGGTCGCCAGGCAGAAGCCCCTAAATCCCCGAGCCCCACTTACTGGCGCCGCGAACACAGGCGGGGGCCCGCCCCTGCGGTAAGCGCTGCTCCTCGACGAGCCGGGCGCAGCAGCCCGCTCGGGAACTGGAAATGGGGACAATCCCTGCTAGGACCGGCCAAGGGCTCCGTGCCGGGACGCCCGCGAGGTCCGGCGAGTCGCACGGGCCGCACGGCGCATGGTAGTGCAGCAGGAACCCGGTCGTTTTCCAGCCTCCGGCAGGAAAACAAACAAAAGGCTGGGTGGCTTCTAGTGGGGACAACCGGCCGCTTTCCCTGGGAAAAGTTACCCTGCAGCTCCCCTCGCTGGCCCTGCGCGTCCCTGCACCGCGTCCCTGCACCGCGTCCCGTTCGCCTTGGCTCGCCCAACCGAGTTGCGCGGCGCAGCTCCGGGCAGAGGGCGGCACTGCGCCCAGGGATCCCTAACGCCAGCTGAGCACGAGGCGGTCTCCGACTCCAAACGCACTCCTAGTTGCAGATCGGCTCGATCAACCATCAAGACTTAGAAATGGAGGCTGTCGATGGATGTTCTGAGCACATTTAATTAAAGGTAATCGTTGTGAAAACATTTTTCTGATTTGAAAAAACGTAGCTGAGGTGGCACGACATTGTGAAAGTAAGCAATGCCACTGAATTGTATTCAAGGTGGTTAAAGAGCAAATTTCATGTTACCTATACAGAAAAATGCGATGAAAACGCACCTGATTGCCTGGTAACATTCCTTTTAACGCTTAAGAGTTTTTATATTGTTAGCAAGTAGTTGTAAAAACTGGACCCTTATCCGGGTGAGAAACTGACTCTAGTCAGATATCCTCTACACAACAATCGTCCTCCCTCTGTAACTAATTATAGGGAATCTAACACATGTAATTTTATAACACATTCATTTATGTCATAAGTGTAGACATTACCTAAAATCATCCTTATGAGGCTAGAGCGCTTTGAAAAAAGAAGTTGCTTCCAGGTGTCTGATTTTACATTTACATAATTGTCCTAAGCCAACAGTTCTTAAACATTAGCGGGAAGCATCAGAACCACATGGAGGACTTGTTAAAACAAATTCCTGGGCTGCACTCCCAGAGTTGCTGGTGCTAATGCTGCTGGTCACGCTGCCTTAAGCAACACAGATTTAATTAATAAAGCAGAACCCCTTGAACACTTTGTGGACTGTTCTCTGAGTTTACAATTCCCAGCTGATCATCATAACAGTTTTTTCTCACTATTTTTATTTTCGAATTCTACAGACTGAAGATTGTTTTTTACTGAAAGACTCTATACGAAAGCCTGAATCCCTTTCTCCTCTTGATCTTGTGAAGAAACATGCAAGATATAAGATAGTCAAGCTTCCTTAGATTCCCTCTCCCAAATGGAAAAAGGCCATCTGGTCATTTGACAGATGTATAACATTTGTATCCACCTTTGTTTTTACCTATTTAAAAGCCAGCCCATATGGCAAATGAAAATGGAAAATCATTATCAGTGGAAAGATAGAGACACAAGAAGGAATCTAACAAGTCATATACTACTCCCATGAAAAGCAATTTCTAAGGTAAAGTTATCAGTTTTAGTCAAATCAAATTGTCTCAGCAGGTCTATGTGGCAAACTGAGGTGCTGTCTTGGTCTACCTTTAGCAACAGTCTGCTAGGCTAGTTAAGTAGCTTAGATCAGTAGTTTTGGCCTCAGGAAACTATAATCCTGTAAATACAGTATGATGAGAGAATATAACCTTTTAAGGAGGTCTAGCGGATACTGTGGAACTGACAGAAAATAGAAAATTACTAGCTATGAAACATAATAGTGTTTTAATGCTCAATTTATCTTTACAAATATTTTATTAAGCTTTAATTACTTGCTAGAATAAAGGAAATCATCTGTGCTAATTGACCAACTATTTTAAATTAGCACTCAACATTTTAAATGAAACAGATTCGTTCTGAAACTATTTCTTCATTCTCAGTTTGTAAAACTTATTAGCATTCAAGAGTCACATTTATCATTTTATTCCATTATAAATCCTTAGATTTAACCCTTCCTCCCCAGTTTAAATTTCAAAATCCAATTTTAAGGAGTTCATTGGGAGGAAATTTATCTTTAAAATGACTTAAGCCCTAGAGTCTCCCTTTAAACTAAAAACTTACATTTTTGGCCCCTTTTAAACACGAAGGCACTATAGGTAGCCGACTTAGGGTGCAAATAAAATTACACTCATCCGAAGGGTGAAGCCCAATATTTAAAAACTGCAGGCGGGCGCGGTCGCTCGTGCCTGTAGTCGCAGCACTTTGGGAGGCCCAGGCAGGCGGATCACGAGGTCAGGAGTTTGAGACCAGCCTGAAATTAGCCGAGAGTGGTGGCACATGCCTGTAATCACAGCTACTCAGGAGGCTGAGGCAGGTGAATCGCTTGAACCTGGGAGGCGGAGGTTGCAGTGAGCGGAGATCGCGCCACTGCACTCCAGCCTAGGCAACGAGGCATTTGGGACTTCCTTATTGTAGCTGGCACTGTCTCTCCTCCCCCAGCACTTTCACCTCCACTTCTCTGCCAAAGATGTACTGCATTTTTAATCTCCAGAATAGAATGGATTAGAAGTTTAAACTCTGTAAACTCGTTGAATGCTTGGAGCCCTATTAGTTCCTGTCACCAGTAGAAACTTTAAAAACTCAGTAAATGTTTGCTAAATGAAGGTAATAGGCTATGAAGCCTGTCGGTTTTCACAGAATAGGGAAACCCGTAGTTAAAACAGATTGTGGAAAACAAAAAGACTGTGGAAAAACAAAGTATCATCTGGTAAACAAGTACATTCACTTGAGATGAAATCAGGTAGTTTGGGCTTTAAGAGGTGGGGCTGAGGACCAAGGGTAAGTTCCGGCGCTCAAACCTGAGCGATGGACTACATATCCCACAGAGCCTCGCGAGCGCTGTTTCCGCGGCACTTGGGTTTCAGGGCCATGGAGTCGAAAGCCCTCCCCCCCCATTGCATTATGGGATTTGTAGTGAGATGTTCTTTGCGTGGCTCTTGCTTTCCTCCTGCTGGGCAGCAAAGCGCGTCTCTTCCTCAACCTCCAGTTTGTGCTCTCAAAAACTTAAGTCGTTATAACAGCTGTGACTGTTGAGAAGTTTCACTGTTTTCCCGCATTCCTGGCGCAGGACTCTAGCCAGAGTCTCCGAGGACTTTGTAGCGACTGTTCCAAGCGTCCAGTTTTATGTTCTTCTGGGCGGCTTGCCTTAGGGGCTCACCCCTAAATTTGGGTTGTAAACATTTTTGAGATAATGCTTGCTCAAGTTCGCTTAACTGTTCACTCAGCCGAACACACGGGTTGAGCTTGAGGTTCGACGCTCGGGCAGCCTTAGCCCTATGCCTGGCGCGCGCACACTGCCTTCCCGCCCCCCGTCGTCCACCACGAGGCAGCCCTAGGGCTGGGGGGCCGGGCAGCGCACAAGGGCAGCGCCGACACTGCGCATGCTCGGCGCGTTGGCGCAGGTTCCCGCAGCTGAGGGGCAGCTCCGCAGCGGCGTCCGGGGTCTCCACTGGGGCGGACGCTCCGGTGCTCGCACAGTCTCCCGCCGCGGCTGGCAACGGGCGTCCCTCCACTCCCCGAGTCCCCGGCCGCCGCCGCCACCCCAGCGCGCCCCGATCTGGCCCCCTGCCCCGCGAAGATGGCTGCCGTACGCCGGGCCCGCAGTTACTGCCGCTGCCTGGTGCGCTTCTCCGACCGAGAACTCTGCTAAGCCCCGCTGCAGAGACAGGCAGGAGTAGACACCCGGACACCCAGCACCCCTCCTCGGGGGCAGTGCAGAGGGGGCGCGGAGAGCCGCCCTCGAGTGCTGCAGGCCGCCCCGCCAGCATGGTAACCTGGCCAGGGGGTTGGAGGGTGGACGCCGCGGGGCGGGAGCGCGGTGTGCAAGGAGGGCCCGGGCCTAGGGTTGGGGGTCGGCAGGGACTCTAGGAGGAGTGGGAGCTGCACGGCTGCCGCCTGTTAGAGGGCCCTGGCCTGAGAGGGAGTGAGTCGGAGGACGGGAGGGTACCAGCCCTGGTCTCTCCCTAGGGTTCCTTTCTGCTGAGCCACCCCAGCCCCCGCTGGGCTCGATGTGAGGAGGGGGATGTTTGCAGGACAGCCGGGGAAAATGTCCCTTCTCAGCTCACTGAGTATATTGAATCAGTCTCGGTCCTCTCGAGGGATTTTATCAGAAGCATTGAGCATAGACTGAGGTGAGCTGTCGCAGCGTCTGAATTTGGGAGGGAACCCTGGCAAGCGGAGACACTTGTTGATTGCCCTTCTGCTGAAAAGCCGGGCCCACCGACAGGCCCTGCCTGCACCTTGAGAAGCCCTGGGTGTAGGACGCATCTGCCCCACGAGGCGTCAGTTTCCTAGGTAGGATGTTGGCAGGCGGCCCTGGCAGAGTGGGGTTGGAGGGTTCGTCTCCGCGGCGTCGGTGTGGTCCAAATGGAGAGACTGAGCTAAGCTGCAGAGTTTGACAGCGTAGATTCCAGGGGACTGTTTCGTACTGGAATACGTAGTTTCTGTCCTGTGCCTTTCTTTGGTTTAGAATAAGTTGTCCATCTGAGAAACTAACCTCTGGCTGGGGCTGAAAGAATCAGGAATGAAATGATTCCAAACGAATTAATTTATAGTAGACTCAAATTTTATTGCATAAATGAATGGCTGAATTTATTAAATTAATCTGGAGGATAGAAAAGGCATCAAATGCCCCGATCCTAAACTTTCAGAAGTAGTTCTCTGACTGGGATTAAGCATTTAGCCTTTATAGTTTATTAATCCCACCTGTGAAACAGGAGTAACATGATGAAGACATGGGCTACTCATACACATGAGCTACTTAAGTGAGGGTGATATTTAGGTCAAACTCGATTATGAAAAATAAAAGGAAAACCTCCAGATGGCAACTGAGGGCCTACTTATTTCAGGTGGTATTTGAGTTGACCAAATGTCAGCTCAGCCAGATCCCAGATATAGTAGTTTGTTTTTGTGATCGTACTGTCAAAATCAAAGTAAGAATGATTTAAAACTCCACTGTAACACAGGGGAGAAGAAAGATGCCATCTATATTACACTTCTCCCATTTCCTTTCCTCATCATTCAGATTTTGAGTACTTATTACCAGCTTAGCATAGTGTGAGACTAAGGTACAATACTAGATCTTCAATATAACCAAACCTGCAAGGTGATTTATGATAAACTTTTAATCACAGAATGTCACATATGAAAAGGGACCTCAGTAGATCACCGTATCTCTTTCCAGATGTGCCATAGATATGACAGCTGAGGCCTAGACAGGCCTTTACAAATCAAGCAATGTGTTTGGCCTTATGGTTACAAAGGTAACTGAGATATGTTCCTGTCCTTGATGCCATAACTCTAGTGAATGAAACAACCAGCCTCAGTACAAGTGTTGTGATAAAAGTAAGCACAAGTATTATGGGAACACAAAAGAGGCAATCAGAAAGGTTGAAAAATGCTTCTGACTAAGATGAACCCTGAGCTGCATCTTGAAGGGTGAATAGAAATAGCTAAGTTAGGAGGAAGGCATTCCAGATAGAGCAAGCAGCATATGCAAGCCAGCTGGACAGCAGGAGAAGCTCTTGAAGTCCGTTTAGAATGACTGCTAGGCAAGAGTTAGAGAACTAAACTACAAAGGATACCCCACAGAACTCAGGAACCCTCCCATTACCTGTACTTAGAGTTTACAATAATAAAGCAGATTCTTAGAAGAGAGAGAAATACACTTCTCAGTGGGATTTATACATTCAGTCTTTCATTACATATTTTCCTACTAGTGGTTTTCTTAATAGGAAAAGCTCCCAACTTAAAGAGACCAAAAAAAAAAAAAATGTATTTGACAATACATTAATCCTTTTCCATTTTTCTGGAAATTGACCTGAGTTCTTGATCTCATTTATTGCTTCACAGATGTAGGCTTTACAGTGTTCCCAGCATTTTACCATATACTAACTGGTCAACTCTGAAAGGCACCTCTGGTTTGAGTCTGCTTGCCAGAGATAAGATAAGAGGCAAGGCTAATTTATGTTCTGTAATATAGTGCAACTATGTCTGGTGGCTATGTTAAAGATGTGTGTTAATATAAACACCCCCCACCCTGAAATAACATACAACTAAAATTTGCAAAATTTAAAACTTACCATCTTTGGAACTAGTAAAATTAAATGGGTTTATTATCTAGCTAACCTTTAAGGTCATTTCCCTGATTGCTACATTTCTTTAAGTATTGAGCAAGTTTCATTTGCTGAAGTCTATTAGCTAACAGACTGAACTGAGACAACATACCATTTTTGCTGTAAGGTAGGATTCAGTTTAATTTAGCAAACATTTATTCAGAATGAAAGGATGAAATGAAAGACATCTGACTGAGACCTCTATGAAGCCTCAGGTCACACACAGTAATTCCAGTCTAGCTTTATTCCACTAAAGCCAATCCAATATATAAAAATTGGATTTATAGACAGATAAAATAGAAGGGGTTTCTTTATAAAACATTTACTATTAAAAGTTTTTGACTAAGGAGCTTTCCTAGTACATATAAAACATTAATACACAGAAGTCATGTTTGCATAGAACACATTTAATAACATGCTAGCTGTATAAAAGAAGTGACATCATTTTATGGACTGTATTCTTTTTTTTCTTTTCTTTTTTTTTTTTTTTTGAGACAGGGTCTCGCTCTGTCTTCCGAGTTGGAGAGCAGTGGTGCAATCTTGGCTCACTGCAACCTCCATCTCCCAGGCTTAAGCGATCCTCCCACCTCAGCCTCCTGAGTAGCTGGGACTACTGGCATGTACCACCATGCCCTGCTAATTTTTGTAGAGACCAGGTCTTGCCATGTTGCCCAGGTTTGTCTCAAACTCCTGGGCTCAAGCAGCCCTCCCATCTTAGCCTTCCAAAGTGTTGAGATTATAGGCATGAGCCACTGTGCCCTGCCTGGACTATGTGACTATATTCTCTTAAGTGATCCATGAAACAAAAACCATCTGCTACAGCCAGGCATGGCCGCATAAGCCTGTAGTCTCAGCTTCTCAAGATGTGGGGCAGAAGTACCTTCGGAGCCCAGGAGTTTGAGGCCATCCTGGGTTGCATAAGGAGACTGTCTCAAGAAAACAAAAACTGTTACCTGAACTCCATAGGACAACTAAATGTTACTATTTTCTGAAACAAGTCTGTGTTTTTAGCCACTCAACAATACACTTTCAACTAGAGTCCAGTGGATTTGTTTATTCTACAGTATTGAAAAAATTGAAGTATCAAGTTTTATCTGATTGGTGTCATTAAACTTACCTGTGAGGAGGATATCTACAGAGAAGCAATGTTGTATTTCATTAACATGAACCATTATAGTATTTTCTGTTTGGGTACTTGTAGAAGTTTATGGACACTAAAATTATTTGGGCTTTTTGTGTTAGACTTGATTATGTGTGGAAGATCTGTCTTAGCACCTTGTCAACTGCATTCTAGAACATTTCTGCCTCTGTTGGAAAATACAACATGACCTATGAAGCAGTCTTGCAAAAGAAAAAAAAAATCTTAGCAGAATCTAATCTGGCCTCTCAAGATCCAGCTACAATTTACAGGAAATAAGAGTAAGAGGTCAAAGGAACACATTTGTTGACACCTCATAAAATCTAGCTTCTACAGAAAAATGACCCAGTTTCATCCTAAATACATTACAAGAAAAAAGACAGGATTACAAAAGACTGGAGCCATAGCAACCAATTACAATGTGGACCTTATTTGAATCTTGATTTCACAAACTGTGAAATATATGTATTTTACATATGACATCTTGAGAAATATGAATATTGTGATTTGGTATTTGATGCAAGGAATTATTACACTGATAATTATTGAAATCGGATCATGAATACTTGGGAATTAATTATTCCTGTTAAGTATTTTTCTCATAAAAAGTTAAAAAAAAAACTTGTAGAACTAAAAGAGAATACCAAAGATGAACCTATTTTTAATTCATTTTTTCTAAGAAAAAGTGATAATTTTTTTCTTGTCTTTTTTTTTGAGACCCTCACCCTGTTGCTCAGGCTGGAGTGCAGTGGTGCAGTCTCAGCTCACTGCAACCTCCAACTTCTGAGTTCAAGTGATTCTCCTTCCTCTGCCTTCTGAGTAGCTGGGATTACAGGTGCCCGCCACCATGCCCAGCTAATTTTTATCTATTTGGTATCTTTAGTAGAGACAGGGTTTCACCATGTTGGACCAGGCTGGTCTCGAACTCCTCAGGTGATCCGCTGGCCTTGACCTCCCAAAGTGCTGGGATCACAGGTGTGAGCCACTGTGCCCAGCCATTTTTTTTTTTTTTTTTTTGAGATTAGGTCTCTGTTCATCCAGGCTGGAGTGCAGTGGTACAATCTCGGCTCACTGCAGCCTCCATCTCGCAGGCTTAAGCAATCCTCCCACCTCAGCCTCCCAAGTAGCTGGGACTACAGGCACACACACCACCACACCTGGCTGATTTTTTATATTTTTAATAGAGATGGGTTTTCACTGTGTTGGCCAGGCTGGTCTTGAACCCCTGACCTCAAGTGATGCTCCTGCCTCAGACTCCCAAAGTGCTGGGATTACAGGTGTTAGCCACCACACCTGGCCAGAAAAAGTGAAAATAATTTTTTTATAGATTATCAGTAGTTATATATATGTTAATGAAAGATTTGGCTTCTTTTACCTAATTACATTAATTATAAATCATTTATGAATAGTAATAGCCTTGAATTGTTACTTTTTATAATACAGTTGGCCCTCTGTACCTGCAGGTTCCACATCCTGGGATTCAACAGTGGATCAAAAATATTTGGGGGAAAAAACCATACAACAATAAAAAATAACACAAATTTAAAAACAGTGTACTATAAGAACTGTATACACGGCATTTACATTGTATTAGGTATTTTAAGTAACTTAAAGATGACTTAATGTAAATGCCATGTATACAGTTCTTGTAGTATACTGTTTTTAAATTTGTATTATTTTAAAGTATGTGAGAAGATGTGCATAGGTTATATGCAAATATGCCATATAAGGGGACTGGAACATCCAGGGATTTTGGTGTCCTGGGGGCTCCTGGAACCAATCCCCTGTGGGACAACTGTAATTAAATTGATTTTTGGATGGACGGAACTGATGTTAAATTTGGGGGGGAAAATGTTAGGATTCACAGTAATGTGAGTACTGTGGTTTGGAGTAGAGAATATGCTTTTCAGACTCATTTTCCTTTGGGAATTAAAAGTAAGGTCTCAAGGGCACCCCACAGCCTTGGTACTCAAAGTGGGTTTCATAAACTGTTGACAGTGTGAATATTAAATAGCAAGTGGCTGAGTGGGCAATATTGATTACAGAGGGCAGCTGGTGTGTGTCTATTCCTGATATTATTTGGGTTTTTTTCCCCCTCAGGCAGAAGCTGAGGAAGATTGTCATTCTGATACTGTCAGAGCAGATGATGATGATGAAGAAAATGAAAGTCCTGCTGAAACAGATCTGCAGGCATGTTTCTTCAATTACGTCTTTAATTTTTATTCTATTGTTTCTCATACATATGCAGAAATTGGTCATAATTATGGGTATTTGTAGGTTATTACTGTTTGCATTGAGTTTAACTGTTTCATACTGGTTTATAGAATAATTAACCAATGTGATGGCTTTCTTTGTAAAAAGCAACATCAATACTGGCTGCTTGTAGTTTAACATATGGGTTTTAAGTATTCAAACTAAGGCTTAAGCATGACTCAGAACCCATAATCTTAAAAAGGTTGATGGGTTTGACCACCTAAAAGTTTACAACCTGTGTATAGCAAAAGGTATCATAAATAAAGTTAAGAGAAATAGCCAGTTGGAAAAACTGTTTATGTGAGCATAGGGTTCATCATCTCATTATATAGAGCATTCATATATTTGGAGGAACAGAGAATAAAAATATATGACTGCACAGTTAATGGAAAAATAATACAAACGGCTATGAAATATTTGAAGAGATAATTAGCCTCACTGATAATTTAATCAGATTGGTGAATAATGTACATCGATGTCCAGGCTGTGAGAATAGTTGTGCAGTGTACATGAAAATGCAAATTGCTACAACTTTCTGGAGGGCAGACTGGTGGTATGGATCAAAATGAAAAACATGCATTCCTTTGATACAGCAATTCTACTTCCAGGAAATGAACTTTAAGGAAATAGTGGGGAAATGGTAAAGTAAGTAAATATGCAAGTATAAAGATGTTTAGTATAGCATTGTTTATCTGGAAAAGCATCATACAACCTAAATATTCATCACTTGTTATTAAGTAATGATGCATCCATACAGTGAAAACACTACAGCCATTTAAAAGGATGAAGTAAATCTTTAGCATTAAAATAGAAAAAAAGTTGCTGTAACTAGTTGTGTCTCACTGCACTTGTAAGGTTAATATTTATTTGGAACCAGATGGTCTAGTAGACACATGGAATGCTGCTGAAGATTATGTAGGTCAGAGATACATGTGTAAAATGTTGGAAGCATAGCAACAAAGCTGTGTACAGAATACAGAGAAAAATTATTTTTAAAACATTCTAGATACGGCTTTTTTAAAAAAAGGACGTCAGGAATAACATGCAGCCCCGTTAGCAGTGGCTGTTTAGGCAGAACGTGTAACCCAGCTTGGGTTCCCCAGGAATCAAACTAGGTGAAGATTGCCGTGCAGGAAGTTTATTAAGGAGTACTTTTGGGTTCAACACCTATGGAAGAGAGAGAGGGAAACGAGTGGGCAGGGAGAAGACCAGCTGCAATGCAGTCTTAATGGACTGCTTAGCCATCCTCGAGGGAGTTCCGAAGATGTAATACCCTTTCACAGCTGACCTGAGTTGCAGACAGAGAACGAAGCCTTTATTAGCCATTAATCAGTCATCGGGTGGGGATTGAGAAGACAGCGTTTTTGCTGAGACAATACCCAAAAGGGCTGACAACAGATTGAGAAGACAGTGATTTTGCTGAGGCAATACCCAAAAGGGCTGTTTTTCAGCTAGAATTTCCAGCAATTTGAGTAACAGGCTCTTTATTTCTGAAAGTGAATCTGGGCAACACACCAGAGTCTGCCATACAGGGGGACTTCACTTTTTATGTGCTTTAAATTTTTTTTTTTTTTTTTTGAGATGGGGTCTTGCTCTGTTGCCCAGGCTGAAGTGCGGTGACGCGATCTCAGCTCACTGTCAACGTCTGCCACCCAGGTTCAAGCAATTCTCATGCCTCAGCCTACCGAGTAGCTGGGGTTACAGGTGCCTGCCACCATGCTCAGCAATTTTTTTTTTGCATTTTTAGTAGAGACAGAGTTTAGCCATGTTGGCCAGGCTGTTCTTGAACTCTCGACAATCTCAGCCTCCCGAGGTGCTGGGATTATAGGCATGAACCACCACACCCAGCCTCAAAGTTGCACATTTAAATTTTTAAAATAAATATTTGAAAGATATTTTCTTTCTTAAATACAGAATGTTAATTAAGAGGAAGACTTTGGGCTTACCTACAGAATTTTTGGTAATACTCTTAATGTCTACTAGATGCTATAGTCATTAAAAAATTATTGGAAGGGCCGGGCGCGGTGGCTCAAGCCTGTAATCCCAGCACTTTGGGAGGCC